CCAACCCTGTAGGTTTAAAGGATTTAATTTTATGTTTTTCAGGAAAGAGAATTCTTATTGAAATTGGTAATTTTGAGTGCAAATAGACCAGATTGGGTGGGGATACATGTACAAATATTTTTTTCTCTTCACTTTTCAGATTGATGTGACTTCATTTGTCAAAAACTGTCATACAGACACGTGTAACTGTAATCTTGGTGGGGACTGTGAGTGTTTATGCACAAGCATTGCAGCTTACTCTCACAAATGCTGTGAGCAGGGTGTAGTAATTCATTGGAGATCTCCTTCTCTCTGTCGTAAGTACTATATCAAGTTAGTAAAATCATAAAGACAAACTCAGGACATGTTTCTTATTCAATTATTACCCCCTTTATTGTCACTTGAATTTTTACTCTTGTTTTCTCACTGGGTTCAACTGGAGTTTGGCTTAAATGATATTTATTTTTTGGACACTGAAGACAAAAGAGCAGCAATGCTGACTTCTAAAGAACTCTTGGAAATTCTTTATTAAATAGCTTTTTAATGTAAAAAAATAGAATTTCTAAATAGCTCTGAAAAAAATCAACTGGAAACAAATAATTAAAAAGCAATGTATCACCTTAATAAAGTACAGTTAGTCAAGCAGTGATAAGAATTGAATCAGTAGAGTCCCAGGAGATGCTTCAAGTTAGAATCTCCAGTTGTAAAATCACCCTTCCTCTTACTACTATTGTACCCCAGTTTCTTAAGCTACTTGACCTAGCATAGTAAGTTTTTGATGCATGTCAATTAAAGAAATTCTGTACCCTTCATTCCAAACCTAGAGTTAAAATATGTCTATAATTTCTTCATGTATATGTTGTTTTCTTTTCAGAGCTGGTTCATGATAATTTTGAACTCTTACTTTAAAAGTTTTGCCTTATTTTACATCTCATAATACTACCCAATTAAGATTGCTTTTGCGATTATTTCCAATTGCTATGTTTAGTTTTTTTTTTAACTTTCTTGAGCAATAAATGAGAGAAACAATATACAAATGTTTTCCAGTTTTTTTCTTAGGCCATGTTTGTGTTAAAACATAGTCTTATAAGAACTGGGTTTACAGATTTGTCTTTATGAAAAAAAACCCCAACCAACTCCCCTCTCTCTCTTCCCGTTCCCCCCTTCCCACCCCCCACCCCCCACTGCAAAAACAAAAAAACAAAAAACCAAACCAAACCAGAAAGACTGTTATGGTCACAGTACTCCAGTGTTTTAAAGAGCAGGGTGTACAAATTTCTTAAGCATTTACAACATGTCAAACTAAAGACAGATGTGTGTCTATTAATGAAATTCTAGAAAAACAGAGTCACTAAATGAAATACCTTAAGGAAAAGAAAACTTTCTTTGATCAAATTGAATTGTGATACTGTGACCTTGTCTTATTGGTGTCTCAGGGTTGCTGACAGATGTGGATTTAGCTAATACCATTTAATACTATTGTACCTATTTTGTTTTCTTTCAGCTTATGATTGTGAATATTACAACCAAGGTATGTATTATTCATTTAAAGAAAAATATTACTATTTTGCTTGCATCCTCATATTTAAATATCTTTAAAAATGTGTTTGTTGCCATAATTTTCACTCATTAGCCATATGGCCCTCTCTGGGTTTAAACAATTATCTATATTTTGAAATCACTTCCAGTTATGGCTTGGCATTGTTACTCTTTGATACAGGTTTTAGCTGCTGTCGTAGATGAAGCTAAAACTTGCGTCTAAGCATCATTGTTTTAAAACTATGCTGTAGAATTTTCTTCAAACTTTGCTCTTTCTAGCATAAGCAAGGTCTCTCAAGTCCTATGCCAGAGGGAATTGAATCTTATTTACAGTAACTTGCCATCTTTGATCTTGTTTTACATATTTGGAAGGGGTGGGGGAGGTTGACAGTTACACTTATGTTACTCATTAAGGGAGAGCTCCTGTTATATCTCTTTTTAGTGGAAGTTGATGTTTTTTTCAATACTTCTGTTCTGCAAGTGCAATAGATGTCTTGAACTTATGCATCAGAAACTCAAACTAGTTAATGAACTGAATCCAATGGGACTTTCAAATGTACCGAAGCAGTGGCTGTATGAACACCAGTATCGTAGTCATTAGCTGACGTGTGTGTTGGTCATTTGGGATGGAATTTGAAACCTTTTGCACTAAAACCACAGTTCTGTATCACTTGAGTGAAGAAGAATCTCTGTTAGTTTTAGCAGTGTTAGAGTCAGGCAGGATGGGCAGTGCCTTGTTTGTCCTTAGCCTGGATCGTGCTGGTGGTCATAATATGGCACCAGGATGGGTGTGATACCATCTGGCTATGTGGATGAGGTGAGGGGGAGGCAGTCCAGCTTCAACCTAGCCCCATAGGAAAATGGGGTGTGGCCCAGATCTGTGGGGGAAGAAGGTGTGAGTTGGCCTGGTGGATAAAAAGGGGACATGGCCTGACCTGAAGGTGGGGTAGGGGGCAAGACCTAGGCTCAGCCCAGCCCTCTGATGGGAGGGGACATGGCCCAGCTCCACAGGGGCGGGGTATGGTCTGCCTCCAAATTGTCCCCATTGGGCAAGGGGGTGGCCCAGGCCCAACCCAGCTCTGTGGGGGGAGGGCATGTGTCCTGGCTCCATGGGTAAAGGGAATGTGGCTTGGCACTGTGGGGGAAGGAATTTGGCCCGTTCCAAAACTAGCTCCACTGGGTGGGGGGTGGGGGTCAAGTGTCCTGATCCAGATGAGGGGGGAGTGGCTGTGGACCGGCTGCAACCAACAGTGCAGGGCTTGGTGTTTAGGAATTTGGTGGTGGGAGGGTGGCCAAACTAATGGCCACTGTTCCCCCACTGCCAAATTTTCTGCTCCATAGGAAGCCTCATGGATCCAGATGCAATGGCTTGGTGGGCTGCATTTGGCCCATAGACCAGAGGCTGAGCACCCCTGGATTAAGGTTTAAACAGACGTTGGCAAATGTATCTGGGGTGCATCTCAGCTGATTTGCTTCATTGGGCAAAACTGACCTTACTTTTTGTCCTGTAAGGTTGGTTCTCTGTCACTTGCAGGCAACACTCAGGGCAAGCCCATGAAAATAGGGTGGGGAGAACCCTGGGTTTTCCTATTTCAGAGACATGCCCCAAGTTGGATTTCCCAGGAACAGGTCTCTACAAATGGGGAAGCCCACCTTAAAGCAAACATGTGTGCAACAAAATAGCAGCACAAATATATATTACCTTTGTTGAAGCAACAAATGTGGGCATTTGTGGTGTGACAAGGGTCATGGTCTTCTGTTTTTGACATCTGTGCCATCATAAAAATGTTTCTGTAGGCACAAGGGTGATGTCTACTTCCAGTCTTAGAATTAGTGCTTGATTCATGCTAGTCAGAAATATTCTGTGTCCTTTGCCATGTTTGTCCTTCCAAATTAATATTATATAATGGTACTGCTGTCTTGTAACCTGATCTCTGATTCATCTAGATAGGCTTCTTACCAGCCTGCATGAAACGGAGACAGTAATATTTTGTTGGATACAAGTTTATGTTCATGTCCAGTCATTGTTGAGTTACTGATATTACAAGAACTCCCTCTAAAACGTCTTTCACCTGTCTTTGTGCAGAACCTAACCTTCTTTTTTAGGTTTTCCAGTGTGTTACCACAATGTGTGTTAAGGTAATATAGCATAGCTGAAAAGGGACACAGAGGTATGTCTGACATAGAAATTTGGGGCATCTATGAGTAGTAGAAAAGGTATTACTATTAACTTTAGCTTTTTGTCCAACTGAATTGATGTAGTCTTGACTGTTTTTTAGAACTGGCACTTCTCTGCCTTGTCTAATGTTGATATTCTTTTAATAGGATGGTGAGGGTCAGACTGTTTCAAATCATCTTTCCCTTTATAAAAATGCTTTAAAAGTCTAGAACTAAACCTATATCCAAGCAATAAACCTAAAAACATCCACCCTCCTCTACTCTGCCATATTAGGATAGACATCTAACAGTCTTTTTTATTTCTATATAATAATGTATGTATTTAATGGATTTTCTCCAGTACAGAAGATTCGCTTGTTTGACATTAACAGAAAAACATATTTAGAGATTCAGAGTACTGATGTAGAGAACACGCTGTGAGGTTTAATGTTATTGTATGCTTATTATCATTTTAGTCTTCATTGCAGTGAGGCGATGCCTTTTTTTAGATGGTGAAACAAGTTTATGTAATAGAAAATTAATAGTGTTGAGAGATACTACATTACTAATGATACTTCATAAAAATAAATATGGATTATGGTAAAACTGAAAACATCAAGTGTGATTCTAACTTTATGAATAGGTCTTGGTCTGCAGTTATCTCCTCATACTATAATGCTAAAGTATATCCCCACCTCCTCCCCATTCTCCCCACCTCAAGTTGGTACATCTGGGCAGAGCTTACTCTGGCTTATTAAAGCGTCTAATGGACTTTTCGGACACTATTTTGCCTTTGTTTATGTCCTGTTTAATTTATTGCTGGTAATTCTACTGGTATGAAATTCTATCACTTGGGTTATACTCAATAATCATAGTGTACCTTTGTGTCATAAAATCTAATGACCCAGCATTTGCAATTTGTAATGCACAGGTGGGACTGCAGGGCCCATGCAGAGCTATTCTTTGAAGTCACTGGAGCTCTTTTTAGGGCCATCACTGTATGGGTGCATTGAAAAATGTAGATTTGTGGCCTATAAGTCGAGGAGTACCACAGGGGTTGCAGAATGTTTCCTTTGTAAATGTCATTTATTGGGCTTAAAAGATTGGCCACAAATTTTTTATTGAAATTTGTATACAAAATGTTATTAGATACACACATATACAAATAATACAGTATAAAATAAATCAGGAATAAGAAACAGGACAGATTAATGGCTCCTTTTGCATGATATCCTCTCTCTCTTCAGCTAGGGACAGAAATGACACAAACTGGTATAAGTGATTGGAAACTGGTTAAAATCTGTAACACAACAGAAGTTCAGTGCACATAAACCACTTTCAAAATGGCTGAAACCAGTTTAAGATGAACCTGGATGGACGTAATATCAGACTTAACTGATCTGAGTTAAATTGGTTTATTGAGCTTCTGTCCCAGATCCCATCTAGATTCAAGTCAACTCACAGTCCCTCATCATCCCAGGATGTTTTGCATCTTCCCTGCAAACCCTTCCTCTTAGGGTTGGCAGGCTAGTCTTGCCCCAAACTGTCTGCTCCAGCAGAGCAGGAAGGCATGCTCTAGCATCTCTGGCTTCTGGCCTTGGACAGTGCATGCATATGGCTGCATTTCTGGAATCAAAAATGAAAGTCTGTTCACCTGCTTATCGGTTCAGTCTACACAGTTTAGACTAACCTGTGAAGATTGAATCAATTCAGCCTCCAGCTTTTTGATCGTCTGTTCTTAACCTTAAGGAATAGTAAACCTTCTAGGCTGCAACAGTTCTCTGCACTATTTTATCACAGCCTAATGGCACCAAGGTGCTTGCTTCTATACCTTTCTCAATTGGTATATTATTTTTATTTATTTATTTATTTATTTACTAAATATTGAATTTTGCTCTCTTTCTACAGGAGCTTCCTAAATGTTTTGTAATTTCACTGACTACTACTATTATGAAGTCATATTATTTTATTGCTCCTGGGTGCAGCATTTACTTGTGTGCCCAGGACTGCAGCCCATTGAGCCAGGGTGGCACAGCCCCGGCTGGCAGAGGCCCCAAGGGGTCAGCCTGCTAGCCCAGAGCTACTTCGCCCTGGCTCAATGTGCTATGGAGAAGCTGGCTGGGGCATGAGGGTGGTATAGTGTGGGGCTAGCCGGCAGGAGTAGATAGAGAGTGTAAGCAGCAGAATAAATAATTCTGCCTAGGATAGTACTTGTCAGGCAGTACTAACTTATAGCAGAAATAATTAGTTTACTCTGGTCTAAAAGTTCTGCATGTGTAGACGGTGATGCTTTACTGTGGAGCTAATTAGACAACTCTGCAGTAAAGCACACGTGTAGATGCCCCTGCAGTCTCTTACCTAACCTACGTCCTTTGCTCTGTTTTGTTGCTCTAATTTATATAGGTCCCTCACTCGTGATAGACTTAAGTAGTCTCTTAAGTTATGTCAAGACTTCAATAGCAGGTCTCAGAAGTCTTTTGGTTTTCTTTTTGAATTATTGTCTTGTTTTATTATGTTTGTATTGAGCTCTAAGCAATACTTGTCACTGTCTTGCTTAATGAAGTCATTTTCATGTTAGTCAGCTAACCCAGATGTGCAAATGATTCCAAGACCTATGTTCCAACTTCCTATGCAACATACTCAAGTTTCTTCAGAGAGTAGTTTTTAAATTCCCAACTAAGCCATGGTCCATAGATTCCATAGACATTAGGGCTGGAAGTCAGCTGGGGTCAAAGGATCCCAGCAAGATAAATGTCCAAATGTCTTTTAAAGGAGTCCAGAGTAGGTGCTTGCACCACCCCTGGAGGCACTGTTCCAGGCCTTGGGGCTTGGGGAGTAAAGAAGTTCTCCCTTATGTCCAGCCTGAAATGGTCTTGGAGGAGTTTGTGACTGTTTGACTTTGTTGTCCCTTGGGGTGCTCTAGTGAACAGGCATTCCCCCAGATCCTGATGTATACCCCTTATATACTTATAGGCAGCTACCAGGTCCCCCCTGAGCCTGCGCTTTTCCAGGCTGAAGAGTCCCATGGCTCTCAGGCTGTCATCATAAGGCCTGTTCTCCTGCCCTCTGATCATGCGCGTTTCTCTCCTCTATACTCTCTCAAGCTTCTCCACACCCTTTTTAAATTGTGGAGCCCAGAATTGAATGCAGTACTCTAGCTGCGGGCTCACCAAGGCCGAGTACAGTGGGAAGATGACATCTTGGGATTTGCTTGAGAAGCATCTATGGCAGAGTTTTGCTCGCTTTACCAGCTGTGACATCGCATTGGTGGCTCATATTCATCTTGTGGTCAGTCATGACCCCCAAGTCCCTTTTGGTCATGGTGCTAGCAAGTGTAGCACTGCCAAACCTATAAGCATGCTGCAAGTTTTTTTCCCCAAGGAGGAGTACCTTGCATTTTTCTGTGTTGAATGCCATCAGGCTTTCATCCGCTGATTTTTCTGAGCCTGTCTAGGTCGGTCTGGATCACCATTCTATCCTCAGGTGTGGACGCTTTACCCCAAAGTTTGGTGTCATTGGCGAACTTGGCCAGTCTGCTTCTGATACCAATGTCTACATCATCAATAAAGATGTTAAAGAGTATAGGCCCCAGGATGGAGTCTTGGTGGACCCCACTGGTCACGGTGCACCATGATGATTTACTTCCATCTATTACCATTCTCTGGGTCTGACCTCAGAGCCAGTTCTCCAGACATCAGACTGTGATGTAGCCGAGGCTGCAGTTGGCCAATTTTTCCATAAGGAGATCATGGGACACCAGATCGAAGGCTTTTTTAAAATAAAGATATATGATGTCAATCTCTTCTCCCTTGTCCAGGTGATACGTGACCTGATCATAGAAGGAGATGAGATGGGTCAGGCAAGATCTACCTGCAACAGACCCATGCTGGCTATCCCTCAGGATGTTGCCATCAGCCAGTTTGTCAAGAATGGTCTCTTTGATAATTTTTTCCAAGATCTTCCCTGGGATAGAGGTCAGGCTGATAGTCCTGTAGTTCCCCAGATCTACTTTCCTCTTTCTTGAAGATAGGAACTACAATGGCCTTCTTCCAATCTTCGGGCACTTCACCTGAGCACCATGAGTTCTCAAAGATCTGTGCCAGTGGCCGAGCTACGATGCCTGCCATCTCCTTAAGTACCTTGGAGTGGAAACTGTCTGGGCAAGCTGACTTGAAGGTGTCCAGCCTCTCAAGGTGTTCCTTCACATGGTCTACATTGATGTAGGGCAGCAATTCTCCCTCACCCTGGTTGTCCCATACTGTATTGAGCAGAGCCGTCCCTTGGGGCTAGTGAAAAACCTGTGCAAAATACCCATTCAGCAGGTTGGCTTTTTCCTGGGCGTCGGTTGTCAGTTGTCCCATTTGGTTTAGCAGAGGTCCAGTGTTACCTTTGCTTTTCCTCTGGCTCCCCACATATCTAAAAAAAATTACTTTTTATTGTCTTTGATACATGTAGCCAGTTGAAGTTCAGTTGCAGCCTTGTCTTTCCTGATTCACTCCTTACAGGTCTGTACTAGTGCAGAATACTCCTCCTTTGAGGTGGTTCCAGTCTTTCATCATTTATAGGTCTTTCTTTCTAGATGCAGGAGGTCTACAAGTTCCCTACAGAGCCAAGGGGGCTGCTGTGCCCATTTTCTGCCTTTCCTCCAAGATGGGATAGACATTGCTTGTGTTTTCAGGATCACTCCCTTCAGGAGCAACTACTCATCCTGAACTCCACTCCCCTTCGGGTCATGGTCCCTTAGGGCCTTGCCAGCAAGCCTCCTGAGCTTGTCAAAGTCAGCTTTCCTGAAGTCGAGGACTTCTGCATTGCTGACTGACTTGCCAGAATTACGGTGGATAGTGAAAGTGATCAGCTCATGGCCACTGTCTCCCAGCTTCCCTTCGATCATTAGGTCGCTGACTAGATCATCCCCCGTCGCCAGTACCAGGCTGAGCAGTGCTTTGCCTCTTGTCAGTCCATAGACTTCTTGAGTCAGATAGAGCACATCCATGCACGTGAGGAAGCTTTGCGACCACTCGGATTTGGCCGAGTGCTCTTTCCACAAGATGTCTGGGTAGTTGAAGTCTCCCGTGACAATCATGCACCAGGAACATGCAGCCTCAGTCAGTTCCTTGGTGAATTCCTGGTCGAGTTCTTGATCCTGATTAGGAGGTCTGTAGTAGACTCCTACCATTGTGTCCCCTGTGCCATGTTCACCACTGATTTTAACCCAGAGAGTCTCCAGTCATCCAGCCTGGATGCCAATGTCAGCTTGCAGGGATGTGTTCCTTTCCTTGACATAGAGAGCTACACCCCCGCTACTTTTGTCTACATGCTCTTTCCTGTACAAGGTATTAGCCATCTATACCTGTGGCCCAGTCATAGGTGGAGTCCCACCAGGTCTCCATTATCCCCATGAAATCATAGTCATTCTTGTTTAGCAGGAGGACCAGTTCCTCCTGTTTATTCCCCAAGCTCCTGGCATTGATGTACAGGCATATAAGTGTCCCATTGGAGGCCCTAGTCTTCCTACACATTGTTCTGGGCTGGGTAGGGGTGGGTTCCCTTGAGTGCCTTAGCCTGCTGGTCATTCCTAACAACTGCGCACCAGAATGAACACACACCGGAAATCTATCAAAGACAAGAATGCCCAATTACCTGTGCGGGCACATTTCTTACAAAAAAAACACTCTCTCTCCAATTTCTCAATTTTAATCCTCAAAGGAAACTTACAAAACACTTCTCAGAGACAAGTCTATGAACTCCACTTCATCAACCTCCTGGATACTAAAAATCATGGACTAGATGTAGACGTTGGATTTATGACACATTATAACCTGCCTGACATCTGACTCCCCAGGTTACCTCTCCACTATTTAACTCCTACATTCATTCCCCTTCTCCCCTCTACCCAGCCTGTCTCTCACCCACTGACTCCACAGTTTACATTGTCACTGACTGCCTGTCTTGCATGGATACCATCCCAGCCTCTGGCTTCTTTACTTTTCATTCCATCCAGAAAGAACACACACCAACTGCAGAAACTTCCTCAGCCTGATGAAGGGTTTTTAAACCTGAAAGCTTGCATAAATATTTTTTTTCTAACTATTTAAGTTGGTCTAATAAAAGATATCAGATTCACCCAAAGAACCTTGTCTGCCTATGTCCTTAGAGCAACATGGCTACAACCTACATCCTAGCAATTAAGCCAAATGAGGTTTCTAAAGAGGGGTTGCTTCTGTTTCTTGAGTTGTACTAGGGAGGAGCTGTCCTGATTCGACTGCATGTTAAATAGACTCAAGTTTTAAACTAAGAGAGCTAAGTGTGTTCTCTTAAATTACTTTCACTACTTAGGAAAGACTATTTTACAGGTATCCCTCTCTTGGTCCAAAGACTCTGTCAGTAGGTCTTAGTAATGAGTATTCAAATGTGTTATAAATTGGTACATACTACCAGCAGAGCAATGACAGTCTCTTTTGCCTCAGCTAAGGTCATATGGATAAGATCTATAGAGTTGCTAGCTGTAACTCCATCGATACTTGTATCCAGTATTACTGTATAGATTCAGAAACAAATTAGTTTGTCCATAGCTTGTCTTTACAGCGTATACATGTGGCACCTTCAGTTTATCTTCAAGATTTATATAGTAAGAAACTTCATGAGGATATAGCCCACATTACCTACTAATATGTACAGCTGCTGTTTGATATGTATACCCTTGCACTTCTTCCATTCTCACTTCCTTGGACAGAAAGAGGAGTGAGGAGTATCACACCTCTCTGAGCCTGAGATGATGAAGTGAGGAGAGTGGCTCTGTCCTGAATGAACTGACTTAAATGGTTCCAGGATTTGTAAAGTGCAAGGTTCCAGTTGTGGGGAATTATGGCAACAATATATGATGTGAAGTTCAATCTTGAGCGGTAAGTAACCAAAGTTTTTCTTTTGTGCTATAAGTAAGGAAACAGACCATTCACTTGATTTTGTTTCTTTTTATGTATTTTTACTAGGGGTTGGAGAGGGACCATATATTTTGGCAAGCTATGGACAGAATGATACTATTATAGGAGCCAGCCTTACTAGCAGAAAGATATTTCCTTTACCTAAAATCAGTACCTATGGAAAAGTGTTCATTAATTTTATGATAACACCAGGCCTTTTCAAAGACAAAGACTTATGTAAGTATTCATAATATTAAGATAATTACAAAATTAGTTTAACTATGTGTACTAACAGTGGGCCCTTGTTGTGAAGAAGGCTAATGGCATACTGGGCTGCATTAGTAAGAGCATTACCAGCACATCTAGTTAAGTCATTATTCCCCTCTATTTGGCACTGATGAGGCCACATCTGGAGTACTTGAACACCCCCTCTGCCCCCCC